GACCCAGGACACGTTGGAGAGGTTACATCTCCAATCTGGTCCGGGAACGCCTTGGGGTCCTGCCGGAGGAGCTGGTGGACAAGGCCGGGGAGAGGACGGCCTGGAGCTCCCTAGTTGGGATGCTGCCCCCGCGACCCGGACCCGGATAAGCGGAGGAAGACGAAGACGAAGACGAAAGTTTAATGCACAGGGGGTTATAGTAATCAGTCATTCAGCACCAATATCAATTATAAACAATCAATTTAGACTTTGCAAAGTGGAGAGAAAAATCAATACACACCAAGCATGAATTCAGATCGCTCTCTCATCAGACTTACGTCCTCCGACAGGATTTATTGAAGCACAGAGTTGAAAAAACAAACACACACATATCACAGTATTACGTAGACAGTCTGCTCTCTGGAGGGATTTAAGAGAGAAGTGTAGGTCCTGTAGCAGTGAGAGAGAAACACACTACCTGGTAAATGACATACACTTTTATAAAGTTTAGAAACTTGTAAAGTTAGAGTGTGTGTGACATCATCACATTCAATAATACATCAATGTAAAATCTAAAAAAAAAAATCTAACCAGAAATTGTGTAAAAATCTGTGATATATTTTAGCATGTCAAATACACCTTTCTGTGGCTTGTGACTTTTAACACAAGCTAACTGTTTTCTTTTTCTTTCATCTTCAGCGTAGGACCTGCTGCCACAAACGTTATGACCTTAGACCTATTTCATATCAGACGTACTAACAGAGGGAGTATAGACAGCACACGAGGGCTGCATCCCTCATTTGTTATGTGCATAAAAGTCATGCAGCTGGGGAATCCCCTTCATAGAGCAAAAATGATATTTTACATGTCAAACTGGTGTTGACGAAAGAAACAAAGTAAACTGTGTCTGTGGGACAGGTTAGATCAGTGGTACTCAACCTTTTTTGACTGATGTACCCCCTTTGAAATATTTTTTTCAGCCGAGTACCCCCTAATGAGCGCAAAAGCATTGGGGGGGAGGACTCTGGGATTTTGGGATAATGAATTTAGCCTACTTCTACTGAATATAAAACACATTTTATGAACTTTTACTTATATTTTCCTAAAATATTTATTAAATAATTATTTTTTAAAAGATTTTCCATGATTGCTATTTTTTTTAAATGAATGTACATTTTCTCACGTACCCCCGAAGTTTCTTTACGTACCCCCAGGGGTACGCGTACCCCCATTTGAGAAAGGCTGGGTTAGATCATGTTTAATGTTCTCAGCCAAAAATGTCTGTTAGGCGATGAAACACGTTCTTTTGAGTTTAGGAGCTCATCAAGTCAGAGGTGGTGAATTAATTAATCAACCAAATAATAAAAAACAACACATTGTGCTGAAAATTATTGAAAATTCTGCAAAAATGTAAAAATAAGTCAATAATAGCACAACACAAGGCAGCTCAGTGTTTGCACAACATTGTTTGTATGTTGTGTTGAATGAAGCAGAACTAAAATTCCCCAAAAAACAAACAAAAAAAAAAACCAGTAAAACATAAACAACGGGAATGAAGCCATGCGCTAATGCTGATTAGGACACTTTGAGTTGTAGGCTGGCAGCAGCATTTTATCTAGAATCTCTCTTTCTCTGTGATAATAACTTTAATGATGATGCAGAATGTAGATTAGATTTTCAGGACTTTGTTTTAGAAGCACAGATGAAATGATAAACAGACTCCTGCTGCAGGATTTCTGGTCAGAGCTCCTCCAGGAGGTGCAGGAAGAGTTTCTCATCATCCAAACACCACCTCATATCCGCTGGTGTTTAGCTCTTAAAAGCCACTCTCCAAACCACCTTCTGCTGAGGTCTTTCGTTTAAAAACCACTGTCTCTAAAACGTTCACCAGAGCTGCCATCTAACACACTCACCCAAACTGCTCCGCCTGGTTAAATGTGCTCCACGCAGCAGAGATCCCGTGGGAGTCAAAGAGCTCTAAAAGCCAGTTTCACGTTCTCACGCCTAATGGGGTGAGAGGGTTAATGCGTTGCTCTGGGATTACTGTAAGGAATTTGCTCATCTTCCATTGTTTTTGTCCCACAAACGGAAACTTTTCATGGTGTCTGAAACGTTTAAGGCCTCTTAGTGAAACTTTTGTCAGCAAATTAAGAGAAATTAGTTTTAAGCAAAAGAAATGAGCTGTAATTACATTTTCTGTGTGAAATACACTGGCATTTCATTTTCTGAATGGGGTTTGAAATAAACCAACAAAATGCAGTTAAATGCCTGTAAAGATGAAAAGGTTTACAATATGCACTATGGATTGATTTTGAGCCTTCGTACAATTACAGATCAGGGGCCTCGTTTATGAAGCTTGCGTACGCACAAAACAGGGTTGGAAAACTGCGTAAGCAACTTTCCACGCAAACTTTGGGATTCATGAAAGAAAACTTAGCAAAAAAATGTGCGCAACTTTAAGCTGACTAAGGACCTGCTTACTCACATTTTGGACATGGAGAGCACCTGCAGTGCTGCTGCTGAGAAGGATGAAATTATGAAATCGTGCAGCATCATCACTTGTACTGCTTCGTTTACACCATGGTTGACACACAGAACAAGACCCCCCACGTGCACACGCGCGCGCGCACACACGCACACGCAGCCTGAAGTGCAGAATACAGAATGCAGAATATCAGCAGGGGGACAGATTGAGACAGAATGTCATGCGTCTGTGACAGTGTGTGTCCTGTCACTGAGGCCCGATCATATGCCTTGCCTGCTTGTACAGGGGAGGTCTCCGTTTGGCCGACTGGTGAGTGTGTGTGTGTGCTAATTTTTTGAGATAGGAATTTTGGGTTTTCATGAGCTGTATGCCAAAATCATCAATATTAGAAACAATAAAAGTCTTGAACTACTTCAGTTGTGTGTAATGAATCTAATATGCATGAAAGTCTAATGTTTCTCAGTACATTACAGAAAATAATGAACTTTATCACAATATGCAAATTTTTTGAGAAGGATCTGTAATTCATTACTCACAGGAAGTCCACAGAATGTAGTTAAAAGTCTTCAGCTTGTCCAAAATGCTGCAGCTAGAGTTCTGATGAGAATTAAAAGAGAGATCATATCTCTCCTCTCTCCTAGCTTTCCTACATTGGCTTCCTGTTAAATTCAGAATATATTTTAAGATCCTCCTTCTAACATATAAAACTCTTAATAATCAAGCTCCATCATACATCAGTCATCCGATTGTTCCATAATGTTACTATCAGGGCATTTCGCTCTCAGACTGCAGGTTTATTGGTAGCTCCTAAAATATCTAAAATTAGGAGGGGAGGCAGATCTTTTCCCTATCAGGCTCCTCTCTTGTGGAACCAGCTCCCAGCTTTAGTCCGTGAGGCAGACACCTTGTCACCGGGGTGACGGTGGCACAGGTAACTCCTGATTGTGCTCACCCCGTAATTGAAAGGTTGCAGGTTCGAGCCCTGCTCAGTTTGTCACTGTCATTGTGTCCTTGGGCAAGACACTTAACCCCCCTTACCCGCTGGTGGTGGTTGGAGGGACCAGTGGCACCAGTGCTTGGCAGCCTCACCTCTGTCAGTGCGCCCCAGGGCAGCTGTGGCTACATCGTAGCTCATCATCACCAGCATGTGAATGTGAGTGTGTGTGTTAATGACGGATTGTGTTGTAAAGCGCCTTGGAGGGTTCCAGGATTCTAGAAGGTGCTATATCAAATACAGGCCATTTACTTTTAAAACTAGGCTTAAAACATTTTTCTTTTCCTATGGTTAAAATCTGATGTTAGCCTAGATCTGGACAAGTGGGGGAGTAGAGGGAGGTGGAGTGTACAGTCGGTAAAGACGGCTCTCCCTTGCCCTGCCTCCATCTAAAAGGCTAGGTTATCCAGAGTTATCTCTGTAGTTATGCTGCTATAAGCTTAGACTGCTGGAGGATACACTGACCATTTTCCACACTCTACAACTTTCTTCTTCAATTTCTCTCTTAATTGCAGTATTTCCTGCATTTTCAGCTGTTAACTTTATTTTTTCTCCAAGTGTTTATCTTCTCAGAAGAAGCTACAATGGTGTTTTTGCATTAGCTGTGGTAGCCTCATGGTGGAGGCCATCGGTACCTTAACATCCTTCCAGAGGAACTCCTCCCAACTAGAGGTGGACAGATAATGGTTTTCTATTCCGATACAGATACATAGTCCATGGAGAGACGATATGTGATGAAGATTTTCATAGATATCTATGTTTTCAATCTTATTTACACGCTAAAGTGTCACCAATAACATCATTTGAAGCTCAAAATTTCTGACTGAACCAGCTTTTGAACACAGAGTTTAACCAACGGTTAAATCTTCATTTTGTTCACTAGACAGTCTTGAAATCAATCATCTAACTGAAGTTAATCAAACAAATCAATTAACTGACCAAGTATTAAAGATTCAAAACCGCTTAATAAAAAATAAATTTTAATTGAAAATAATTTTGAGCATTTATTATGCAGATGCTATTTTGGAACATAAATATATTCTGCAGCAGCACCGTGCTGCACAGGGACGTCTCGGACTTTAAACCTGCTTTACTGAGGAATATCGAGCAGATGCAGATATATATTTTATTGTTGTTGGCCGATTTATTTATAGGTCTGCCAGTATTCCCAGCCATCAAGTGGTTTTATGAGCAATGTCTGTTCCAGCATGGTGGAGCACTGTGCCATGAGGCCAAGTCAGAAAATGGCTCGGAGAACAAAACATTTAGTATGTGGTCAGACACAAATTATATTCCCATTGGGAACTTGTGGTTCATCCTCACAAAAAAAATAAAAAATCTTTAAATATTTACCTGCAGTGTACAATTACCCACCTGAGTGACAGTTTCCGCTTTTGCTTGGTCTATGGTCATAATGTTATGGCGGAGGGATGTATGGTGCATAAAACATTTCACACCAAGTTTGAGTTTTGTTTTTACAGACGAAGAGGGCAGCAGCAAGCCAGAAGCATGATGCTAGTGGTTGTACGCAAAGGAAAAAGATTACTGAAAAGCTTTTATTTTGATTGAGAAAACATGACAAGGCAAAACAAACAAAAATATCACTTTGAAGAGCACTAAACAGAAGGAATATTCATCTGGAACCTTCTGGAGCATCCACTTGATAAAACTAGTAAGTCCTACAGTCCTCAGTGCTGTTTAACCAACACAACCATGGGTTGGCTGGTGATAAGCTGCAGGTATCCCATCATGCATCTGAGCTGCTCAAATATCACATTACAGATCCAAACGTGGTCACAGGGTTTTATTGTTGTAACCACATGGAGAATAAAACCATACAACTCCAGTTTGCTGACTGATCTGAAATCATCAGTATAAACAGTTGGTCCTTGGTGTGTGTGTGTGTGTGTGTGTGTGTGTGTGTGTGTGTGTGTGTGTATCTAATCAGACTCTGGCTCTGAGCTTGCCGGTGTGGACACAGCTTCCTCCTCCTCTTCATCCGATTCCTGAAGTCAACAGAAGAGCTGGTGTTATCAGCAGTAGAGGCACGATGAAAGTGTTAAAAGTTCTGATGCGCTAACGCCTCACTGATCAGATGCTTGTACATTAGACTAGTAGAGTTCAAATTTAAAAGATGAGAGCTACTCTAGTCTGTCGTTTACACGTCACGCTGCTGCTGCTTCTTCTAAAACACGGCTAAGCTGTAAAAAGAAAAGCAGAGGTGAGATTCTGATCTTCAGAGCTTTGAACTTCTTTGTAGCAAAGATTACTAAATATCAGCTTCTCCTCTTAGTAGTCGGTTGAGGACACGGGGGGAAACTGCTGCTTTTTCATTAAACTGATCTGAACTGGGACGCCTGGCTTTAATGAAAACCTGTGTCCATTTAGAATTAACGTATTTATGAGTTTGTCATCACTCAGCAGAATGACTGTCCTGACTACAGACTGATGTTCTACCGCCGGCTCCTACCTTTTTCCTCTTGCTTTTGCTCTTGCGGTCTGAGTCAGAGGAACTGTCCTCGCTGGTCTCGATGAACTCTCGGCTCTTAAAGCTGTCGTTGCCTCCGCTTCGCTCCCTCTCTTTGTCTGCGCCCGCAGACTTCCTCTTCTTCTCATCCTTTTTGCCTCCAGATTTTTTACTTTCTCTAATGATCAGACGTGTGGAGGAAAGAAAGCAGATGTGTAACAACTCTGATGAAGAAACATAAAAACTGCTCCTGTGATGAGAGCCTTACTTCTTGGAGGTGGAGGTGGATCCTCCGCCGCTCTCCTTGAACTCCTTCTTAGCTTTGTCGTACTGCTTTTTTGCCTCTCCTGCCTTTGTTTCCCACTCCTAGAGGGCACATCCGTGTGAGTTTAATAAAACGCAGCAGAAATGTAAAAGCACCTCTGTGATGTTCTCACCTCCTTCTCGTCTTTGCCCAGCTGCCTCCACATCTCTCCGGCTTTCTTCGATATCTCGGTGATGGAGATGCCGGGGTTCTCCGCCTTGATTCGCTCTCGGCTGGAGTTGAGCCAAAGCATGTAGGCGCTCATCGGCCTCTTCGGCCCACCGGTGTCCTTCTGCTTTTTCTGTTTGAATTTAGGATATAAGAGTCAGCAGTCATGTCAAGTTCGATGGGTTAATGTACGGCACAGCCGGTTTATGTTAGATCGTGAAATCAGGCTTTTGAAGCCTAATGTTCTCCTCCTGCTGGTCTCTCACCTCTTTACGTGGTTTTCTCTCCTTTTTCTCCTTCACAACTTTGGCTTTTTTAGCCTTTTTCTTCTTTGCACCCTCATCTTCACTGTCCCCCCCCTCTTCGCTGCTGTCACTTGCAGAGGCGTTACTATCGTACCTGGAAGAAAGGAGGAACAGACGTTTACAACAACTACAGGTATCATCTCAAGCTTTAAAAATGAAGTTAAACTAAACTTACTCTTCTGCAATTTCATCATCTTCTTCTCCAGGGTTGAAGGACTCATCTAAAGAGAGAAGAAAACCCTCGTTCAACCATTACCATCCTCTCATCGCGAGCGGTTACATTTGAAACAGTCACTAACCGCTTCCACTTCCATCCGACTCGTCGCTGTCATTGCCCTCCTCTCTGATCTTGCCCTCAGCCTTCATCCTCTCCAGATAGGCATCGTGCTGGTCTTCGTCTGAGTCGCTGTACTCGTCGATTTTACCCTTCATGCCCTGGAAAGTACGCAGCACGGTCAGGAAAACACCACAAACACACAACGTCAGAGCTAACACGCTAGCCCAGACTGTGGTTAGATGTTTGAAGGTGTCGCGGCTTCACAAAGCCTGAGTTTTGCTCGTGGGACACCGTCCTCCCTATCTGTCTTGGATCCAGCATCAACCACAGTCAAAGGAAACACAACCAGTAACCAAAACAGGAGGTGTGACGTTTCAGCTCCAGATTGCACCGTTACTAAAACACTACAAGCAAGTTAGCTTTGACCTGTTTCATGTCTAAAATCACTTTGACTACAAACCCTCAAATGTTTTATGGTCCAGGACAATGAAACTAAGCATCACCGTTACCAAAAGGAAGACCTACACTCAAGTTAAATTTGAGTTAGTGAATTTCCCTTTTCCCTGTTTGAACCAGGCAATAGTAAGTTAACACTGGGGATGTTCTGACCAAAATTGGCCAATTTTCATAAAAAACAAACAAAAAACGTGTGCAAATTCCCATCAATGCCTTTATGTCCCATGCTGTGCTGCAGCTTGCGGAGACCCTGTGTGTAGCATTGCGATTCACTACCCCCTTCTGTCGCACTGTGCATGCGTGCAGCAGCTGAAGTGCAAACACGCGTCTGCCAAACGGAGGGTGATGTAAACGTTGCATTTTGCAATGAAAAAGTATTGCATGAGGGAAGCTCTCTAAAATGCATCAACACAATGGACTTAATATGACTCTTAAAGAATAAACTCTTGCAGGGATGTGAATTTTCAAGGCTCACTGCAGAAATAGAATAAAAACCTGGAGCAGCTAACGGAGTCAGACGCAGCGGCACACACTATCACTCGTCTGCACGAGTGCGACAGTCGGCAGGCTGAGCATCGAACTTGAAAAATAAAGCCATCATAGATGAGCAGCCTGTCTCTGTGGTGGATGACACCAGGTCCAGCCCACTAGGACCCGCTACAGGTATTAAATAAATAAATACACATAATAATAATAAATCAAATAAAATCTCACAACACACAAAGATGTGAGATTTATCTTTTGCTTTTTGGCACTTTTTACTCAGAGCTTTTAATATTTGAAATCTGTTTTCCTGTTGACTGAATCGTTGCTGCTTCTTGCAGCACGTTGGTGTAGACTCAGTCATCCTGGATGTGATCAAGAGTTTTCTGGTTTTCTTGAAGTTTTGCCTCATGCTAGAGGCTCCATCAGTTCTAAACCTTGGGCTGTGCTTAGGAGGCTCAGAAACAAACACACGGATTAAGCTGCTTTTTAGTTTTTTCTCTTGAAAAAAGAACACATTTTTGCTCAATCTTTCCCAGATCATGTAGTCTGTCATAACTACATAGAAAAGTTATGGTCAATCCATGTGATCGGTGTTGGTGATCAACAGCAAAAACCTGCTGGAGCATCTCTACTCAACAGTTTTACCACGTACTACTTGTTTCTAAACACATTTCCTTTATTCAACTCCTCCTTCGCCCACTGCTTCGAGACTTAATCAGCCTTTGACCCAACTGGTCCCAAACAGGAACTGTCAGAAACTGCACTGGTTTTTTACCACTTCAACACGACACCATCCTCCCCACAGAATGAAAAGCTCATAAAGGATTCGACGTCATTTGTTGAAACGTCCTCCTGGAAATCACATTAAAACCCTTTTCCTCCTCCTACGTGCTCACTTCCATCTTCATGCATCAATATCCTCGTCTGCCAAGTAGACAGAAGCGACTGATAGGTGGACCGCCAGTACAGACACCAACAGGAAATGGGCAGCAGCTCCATTTGTCCTCAATGGACTCCTCTGCTGACCCCATCACCATGGCAACAGAAGACTTCTGCGAGTCTTCAGACTCACCACAACCTCACACACATCAGCAGGACGTTACAGGCGGAGTGATTAGCACAGGAGAAGAAGTTAGGACCACAACACAGTCTGGAGTTAAAGAACAAAAACCCCCAGGCAGCACGTTAGTCAGCAAAATGCAAACACACACAGTCAGTCATCAGTTACACAGCAGTCAACCCTCAGGTGCCATAATTACACATGAATCCCTTCAGAAAGATCAGGTTCAACACCAAACTGATCAGTAAATCATCAAACCCAAATGATTCTCCACAGATTGATCAGACCATGCAAACAGAATCACTCCAAGCCCACAAGAACCCAGAGCCTAATCCATACGGGACGCTCGAGACCATACCCACCTTCTTCTACAAAGAGTACAAGAACACAAGAGAAGGCACAAAGGATGAGAATGTGGGATGATGTCTGATGAAACTGCTGTCATGTTTTAACCCTCCCACTGTCCTAATGGGTGTGACCCCGCCAGGAAAGTTGACCAATGAGCAGGGTTGATGGTTCATCCCTTGGGTCCATGTGGCAGGGGTGAGGAGTGAGCACCACCTCATCCCTGCCACATGGACCTCAAGGGATAAACCATCAATCCTGCTCAATGGTCAGCTTTCCTGGCGGGGTCACACCTATTAGGACAGTGGGAGGGTTAAATCTACCAACGTGCCAATCAGGATGAGCGTTACCTCTTTGAACCCTCTGTTCTTGATGTTGAGCTTCTTGGCATTGACAAAGTCAAACAGCTTGCCGTACTCCTCTCTAAAGAAGAAGAAAAGCACATTAGGGTGGTTTGGTTGGTATGGAGATAGGGTTCCACACCAGAAACATGTTCCTCATAAAGGATCTGCTTCCTCGTTAAGACTGCCTCACCTCTCGATGCTGCTGAAGGTGTACTGGTTCCCTTGTTTGGTCTCAATCTCAAAGTCAAAGGAGCGCGTTGTGGTGGTCCCTCGGGCAAAGTTCACGCAAGAGATCTCCTCGAAGCGCAGGTGGACGGGGGGCTTGTGGACGTAGATGAATCCCCGCTCCAGGGGGTAAAGGAGGCCGGAGGAGGCCTTGTAGGAGCAGGTAATGCACTGAGCCCCAGAGTGACTGCGCAGATGGGATTTTGTGAAGATATAATCATTTTTAAAAAGTGTAAAAATGTGTGTTTGAGATGCCTACCCTTGGAAGTTTCCAGGTACAGTAATTTTCCTGTTGACCAGGGCCTTCATCACCCTGCTGACCATCTCATAGAGAGACCCCGACATGTTTTTACTGAGTTTGCCCTCAAAACGGCGCTCCACATCCTCCCTGTTACAAAACAGCAACAGAATGAATGTCTTCACCAGAACATGTTGTCAGGATTAGTGAGAAGTGAAGAAAAGCAGGAAAACTATTCCTTCAGACCTCTGGCTCCCCTCAGTGGACAATACCGTTATCACCCCCCCCCCACACACACACACACACACACACACTCACTCACTCGCTCATGTTGAGGGTGAGGTTGATGTCCTCCTCTTTGGAGAAGAGCAGAATGAGAAAGTGGTAGCGAGTCTGACCCTGCTTGATGGGAGGATCCAGACTGATCTGTGATGTCACAAAAAAAACAAAGAGATGCTGAGCGAGGAACGTCAGCTGACCTAAAAGCAAAAAACACAAAGATGTAGACTGACCACAAAGAACATCTGCCTCTGATCTTTGTGTGGTAGCAGGAAGAGCCGGAGGACGGTGGTGTAGGGAATCTTGTAGTCAAACGTTTTCCCGTGAAGGTGAAGGAACGTCGGGTAGATGCGAATGTCGTATCTGAAAGAAGTCCAAATACAAATTCAGCTTTTGTCTCTAATAGGCCACAGCCCAGTGAGAAGCACGCTGAAGAGTAGACAAATCCTTTAAACCACCAGGACTTCTAATGATCTGAATCATGAGATTAGATGGTATTGTAGTCCTGGAACAACCTCATACCTTCCTCTGGGTGTGAGACACTGCAGCTCCTTGAAGATGCACACAGCATCACCAGTGGCCTGGATCACGTCAGCCTTGGACAACACATTCTGAGCAAACGCCTGAAGGAAAACAAAAAATGCCACAACGTTAAAAAAAAGGCAAAACAAAAAATGTCATGAGTAGAAATGTCCCTTTCTCACATCCACAGGGTCCTGTCGTTCGTCGGCTTGGCTGGGCGGGACGTAGAAGCGGACCTCCATGAGGGAAACTTCTGTGTCGTCGTTCTGGTGAAACTCCAACGTGACTTCGTTCTTTCCCGTGGCACACTGGGACACGTTGGACAGAGGAATCTCAAACGCTGCATTGTCATTGATGTCAAATGAAAGCAGAGGTCCTGTGAAGAGCAGAAGAACAAAACTGTGTGAGTCACCGGGTTCTCAGAAATCTCTCCTTGTTTTTAGGACGTGAGTAGATTATTTAAGGATTTCTGTGCTGGATCTTGTTTTACCTGAGAACTTCGCCGTCCCCCAGTTCCAGCCTTTCACACACATGTCCTTCTCCGTCAGCTCCACCTTGTAGTTAGCTTTGAAAAATTCTGAGATCTTTTCAAAGTCCTGGTGGATGAAGGTGGAGGAGCAAAAAGAGGACAGAACTTTTAGGTTGGATTTATAAACAAGTAGTCAGGAGAAGGTAGGGCTCAGAGATAGAGAGGCAGAAAAAAAAAGAGTAAAAGTACAAACGCTGCATGAGTCAAAGCCTAAAAAGAAGCTGTGGCGGTGGAAAATTAATCAGAACACAGTCGTAGGTCAGCTGCTAGGGAGTACAGGAGTTGAATGTAATCCATCCAGCCCCTCCACACAGGCCCTGACAATCAGATCGTTTATTTATCCTGCAGGTCCGCCGCAGCTTACAACTGGAGAGGACTCACAACCAACGACAACCACACACACCCCTACATTCGCAATAGTACAAACACATATGGAACTGATTGTGGCGTGCAAATGCAAGGGCAGAATGAGACTGGAAACTCATGTACGCACCTGGATTTCTGCCATTTCATAAGGTTATTGAAGCCAATATATGAATATATGAATATATGAGAGAGAGAGAGAGTGTGTGAGAGGGTGAGAGTTTGTTTAATCAGCTTGTTTGTTGACCTGGACTATGGAGTTGTTTAGACAGGATAATGTGTGTGAACGGATGTAAAAACATACCATCAGTTTGTTTTGTGGAGCATGTTTTATACTAACACACACACACACACACATACACACACACACACACACACACACACACACACACACACACACACACACACACACACACACACACACACACACACACACACACACACACACACACACACACACACACACACACACACACACACACAGTGATTTGTCCTACATTTATCAGGAATTAAAAGTTTTCTTTAACTATTTTGCTGCTTCAGCTAAGTTACCATTAATAGTGAAATCATTAGGAAACGTAGTCTATATACTGGAGATTATTTCTAAGTTTTGGATATTTTTGGGTGTTGAAAAATGAAACTTTTGACTCAAATCTAAAAAAAAAAAAAATAAATGTTGTTTTTCTTTAAAAACAAAAACAAATAGCCTGATTTTACAAGTGTTTTGCTCTTTGAAATGTCCAACAGCTTTTACTGGTTCTGAATTTCCTTAGTCTGATTATTCATCAACACAGCTGTCAAACTGGGAGAACATGAAGGATATCTGAAGCCAAAGCAGTGATGAGGGTAAAACTCCAGCTGTGGTAAGGGAACCCAACCCCACTGAGATACTTCAGACTCACCGTGTAAATATCTATGATCTGGCTACGTTTTAAAAACCATCACTGTTGCTCTGAAGCGACTCAGGACCTTTCCTGTTTGGCACAAAGCTACAGAGCCCCGGCTGATCCAACATCTGGCTGGTTCTGGTGGATCTCACAGATGCACAATCAGTGTAGGAAGGTGGGAGCCTGGAGGCAGGATCCTCACATGTTCCAGAGTTCTGGCTAAATTAGGAAGTTTGATCTCTAACAATGTTAGAAGAGCATTTTCCCACAAACAGAACAGAGAATCTGAAATCCTCTCGCTGGTCTAAGGCTGAGCCTTGAACAAGTAAACACCTCCGGATGCTCTCAAATACTCAGGCAGGGATTCACATCTTCCTCAAGGACAATTTATTAGACCAGATGAATCAAAATGTCAGCCTTCTGCCAGTTCTCCATTACCGTCGCTAACTGGAGGATAATAAACAATGACTTCACAGCCTGGGCTTTGGGACGAGAGGATCCATCTCCCCTCATAAATAAGCTGATTAACCCCCAGAGACACACTCCTCAGGTTAAACACACACCTCCATCCCTGTATCTCACTAGTGTGTTGATTTTTCCTCTGCGCTCAGAGGAAATTTAAAAAAAATGCAATAATACAAATTTCTCTTGGTCTGTTTTGGGAGCCAATTTGTTTTAGTGGGCTGATATAAACACTGGCTCAGAAGAGCCGATGATTGCACTGTTTATAGAACACACACGCTGGCTCCGGTTCCCCTCATTAATCCCATTAGGGCCTTTGAGCAGAACGCCATTCACACACACACACCAGAGAAACCTCAGAGGAAATATCAGATGGAGCGGGGCTCCTCCTGCTCGTGTTACACTCCCCGTCATACAGCAGCAGAACTCACCGTGTCCCTGAAGCCGTCGTACTTGTAGACGTGACCCGTGCTGGTGCCCAGTTTGATGCCGTGACCCAAACACACCCGTCTCCACTGAGCCAGGTTGAGCTCTCCTGCAGCGATGTTGTCCACCTTCCCTGTCTTGTTGCTCTTATAAACCACGTTCTGTTTGCTGAAACGCAGCCGTCCGTCATTCTGCAGAGACGAGATGAGACATGATGGGTTCATGAGTCCAGAAAAAGCATTTCCAAATGCTTATCTGTAAGCTAGTAATGCCACTGTATAAACGGTATACGGATGATAAATTTAGCCACTGGTAAAGATTTTGACTAACAGCCAAGTACGATCGCACATGAATGTCATCAAGCTGCAGCAGCACGGTGCGGGTGGATAAAGACAGGCTCAAAATAAGGATAGGACTGGACGCCGACTGATGTGGTTTTTTTAAGGCCGATGCAGATACCGATTTTTAAAGAATTTTGTTGCCGATATCTAAAGCAGATTATATATATATGTATATATATATATACATTTTAGCAGCACATTGATTGTGAAAGACAACTGAACACTCACAAGCCACGTTTACATGTGCACAATTAATCAGACTGAACGCCCAATCAGATCAAAATTTCTGCATGTAAACATGTCAACCGGAACGTTCTGATCCGATTCGGCCCGATCGGTATGAAATTTCAATCCTATTGAGAGAGGTGGTTTTGTCCAATCATCATTCCGATTGGCGTGCATGTACACAGCCATTCGGACTGTTGGGAGTAAAATAATGCCCACTGCGCATGTGAGCAACAGCTAGCGAGCCTCCCCGTCGTCATTTGGACTAACTGACTTTTAAAATGACGACCTAATTAACGAGCGCCAGCTTTTAAAATGGATGGCAAGCCGTCCCTGTTTCAGTAATATCTAATCCAGAACTTGCATTTTGTGGAAGCAAAGTAAAAATCTGATTATTGCAGTAAAGTCTGTCCCGGAAACACCAGATTCATTTCAGGTTTGCAGCACAGATCCCCGTTTCCGTGACCGCAGCAGCCGTTTCTGCAGCAGGTGGATGAAGACGTGATCGTAAAGAAGACAGGGTAACAACGGTTAATCAGACCTGGTTTGAGTAGTTAAGTAGAAAAACATCCTCAGTTCAATATTCTGGGCGACTATCTGTGTAAAAGCACGTTAACGCAGATGAGATGCGGTTCGTTTAACACATGATGAACACAGGCTTACAAACTTCTGAACATCTCCTGTTATTTAGTTTGAACCAACTTTTCTCAACAGTTTCAGCCGATTGTCACATTTTATTAATAATAAACCACAACAGAGCTCAGTAATAAAACACGAGTCTTATTATCATGTTAAGAGTCAGAAATTTCGACAACGATAAATTTTAGATTTATTGCCCAGCCCTACTCAAAACATAAAAAAACTGTTAGGGTTCTTTGGGTCCTTTCTTCAGTCTAGTAGTGGCAGCAGTCGGGCACACCTGATTTATTTATTTATTTATTTTAATCGGCTTTTAAAAATAATTTCGGCCGATATAGAAAAAACTTGAAATTATCGGTCCGATCTATCGGTCAGCCTCTAGATGGGACAATGTTGGTTATACAGACCTGGTCTGGGTTGGATGTTGAGCAGAAAAGCATCCTCAGTAAAACATGCTGGCTTAACGAGCTTTTATCTCCGTTAATAGCACGCTCAACAAAGTTCCCTTTAATGCCATTTGATTTTCTTTAACACATAATGAACACACAGGCTTTCAAACCTTTTGGACATCTCTTGTGTTTTAGTTTGAACAATTTTTCCTCCACAGTTTCAAAGATTTCTCTTGCTTATAAAAAAGTTTGAGTCTGAAAATGGCTGCCCTCTCTCGCTCTACGCTGCCTGTGTGCACAGCGTTCAGACCTGCTGATCAGCTGATCTGAGCGCCGCCCGACAACAGGGAGAGGAATATAATAAACCTTCAGCCTCATTTTACTGTTGTTGGCATAAAAATAATAATAATAAAAAGAAACACAAACAGGAACATTGTAACCTCCATTTACTTTGGACAGAAAATCAAAGACTGCACTAAACCGTCAAAGATGGATGATCCCTAAACCCATAACTAGAGGAATGATGGTAACCAATCACACAACGGGGACACGTGTTATATATTTTAGTAAGCCAAGTTTTAATGTAATGATGTAGGATCCTACACCCAGTAAACATTTAGTACAAATAGAAAAAGCATGTACTCTGTAGGATTTCGCCAGCATTGTCTGCATGGTTGACCCAGAATTCAGAGCAGATGTAAAATACCATCAGCTGCTAGATTTCTACACACGAGGAACTTGGATTAAAACAGATTCTTATTTAAGGTTTTTAAGGGTTTGTTTGGTAGAACGGGGTCGTTTGGGCATTTTAGGACATAATTCACTATCAGTTATAAAAACAGCAGAAACAACTTTAAAATATTTTGCTCCTTTTTAGATTCAACATCAAAGTTTAAAGCAGAACCACAAAATACTGACCTCATCTCAATTAGCATTTAATAATCATTCTGTTAAATGATGATTTACATAAAAACTTAGTTATATTCTATTTTTCATTTGACTTAAAGGCAGCTCCATCAGAACATCCCACTATACAAACATGTTTATCCTCATTTGGTCCTTCGTGTTGAGACGACGTTGGTAATTGTAAAGGTGTTACTTATAACTGCTCTTTAGAGAATGCTGTGTGGTGCACTAATCCGTGTCACAATAACATTTAATGTAAAACACTAAGATATAAATATACACACTGTTCTAGGGGTGGTGGATATAATCTATTTTCTGATGCATCAATGTGGGCATAAATGATTCTGAATGGATTTAAAGATGTTAAAAAATAAATCATTTACATAAACGGTAATTAATGACACAATGCTGAGGGACGCAAAAGGCAGAACCTTTAGGAGCAGAGGTGCAACATCTGGACCGTTTAGGAGGAGCTCACATCACAAACGAGTTCTGCCCATGAGGGTCAGGACATCCTGGGTTTGATGATATCTGGAACTTAGCTGTAATTTAAATGTTCTGAAATTAATTTGAAGTGATCCAGACTCTTTTGAGACTAAATGTGAATGTTTTCTATTCTGATTTTTTTGTTGGGGGGTATTTGTGTACTCTTATCAGATATCAAAATGGTTAAAAAGGCAAGTCTTCAGTTTAATTCACAATAATTCACATTATTCAAACTCCAGTTTGTATTTGTATATGAAAGCTGTGATTTCAAGATGGGAACATGAAAAGATTGATTTTGTTCCATTCGTTAAAAAAATTACTGAATGTAAATTAATTTGGGGTTACGAAAACACTTTTCCATAAAAGTACCTGATACACACCAGTCACACAGAGGAGAGGTGAGGGGAAGACATGTTTTTATTTATTTATTTCTGTATGGAACTATCTGATTAATTAAATGAAATCACAAGGGGCCTTAAAGATTATTTGCTACTAATAAGATGCTTCAATGAGGAAAAAAAAAGAGTTATTGCTGATTTCTGAAGGAGTGTCTGAATCACATTTGATAGATTATGATAAAACATGACGTTACTCCTGCCCTATGACACGAGTGATGTAAACTTGTGTTGGCAGATGAAAGCATACATCACAGATACAGTGGTCAAATGAACATCCTCTTGGATCTTCTTGACTAAATTCTGATGCCATGTTGATATTCAGTTGACACCTTCAAATAGTAACGAGGGGAAAAACCTTCTGAAATTTACTTTTTTTTTGTGATTTAAGGATACAAGTGTTATCAGATAACCAGGATCCTATCATGCTATGGGTTACATACTGAACGTGCAAACACACAATCATTTAGTAGAGATGTAAAATAAAAGGCAGGGTGAAGGAACTGACCCAAGAGCCTTTGACCTCCTGGTAGATCTCGTTGAACTCCAGTGTGTCCCCCATGTCGGCTCCAGGCGATGAATGACACTCTATACACAGGTAAACGGCATCAGTTCCAACCAAACATCAACAAGTTCATTACAAAATGAAATATTCTGTGCTGTTTTCCAAATGTTAGTCATTCTGAAGCATCGAGACGCTCAGATGATGATTTTTATCTTAATGGGACCTTCCTGGTTAAACAAAGATGAAATCTGACCTAAAGTTATCTCAACGGTTACGTTTGCTTATTTTTTTTACTGTGTGCCCATTTAAAATAGTTAAAAATCTACCCAACAATATTGTAAAATACAATCTGAAGAGCAGAAATGTTTACAATCCCACCGTGACACAAGTAAAGGCTGTGTCACTCCGTTTGTCAGCACCATCAAGCATGCTCCATCACTCACAATAGCTAAGCTAGCATAGGTGCACTTGCTACGCTTCTTTTGAGTACCGATGTTTAACCGAGTCGTAATTTTGGTTGTAGGAAATGGCACGAAGAAGAGCACCGCCCCGCAGCAATGCATGGTACACCGAATCGAGCGCAACAAAAAAGAAGCTAGGCCGGTTTTGGAAAACAAGTACTATTTTATGGTCTACATAACAAAGAAATCAAATTCAGTTGAGGCGCGTGAGCAAACCTATCTTCTGTTGATTAGTTTCTCTCACAAACAAGTTTTTATCCACAGGAGAAAAGGCAGTTTTTTAAACGTAGACTTACAATCACTGAGATGTGCAGATTCGTTTCCCGCGTGTAGCATCAGGAGCTAGTGTGACGTCACAGGAAACAACAGCAGGAGTATGCGTTTCTTTCCGGTTTGCCAAAAGGTTTTTTTAAGCATTCTATATTTTTTGACTAAATACTTTCCCATTTGTATAAGATGTAAATGTGTTTGTATTAACGAGTTTTTAAAGATATATCAAACTAATAGTGGCATGATTTAACGGAGTCTGCGCAGACCAGAGAATGGTGCAGTGACCCCGATATACCACTACAGGGCGCACAATCCCTCCAAGAGCCTGAAGAGTCCTGTCGTTACTTGTGTTATAAATCTCTTGTTAGAAGAACATTAAATACTGAGCGAAGCGACGCAAATTTGGTTCATTTTTGCTTTAAAAATACAGTCAGATGTGCTAGCCACAATCTATAGTGTGAACAGATATTCACGTTTTCATTTTACAAGAAAAAGGCAAGAACTGGTGTTACAGTGAGGATCGGATCAGATTAACCTGCTGAGGTAGCACAGTTTGGAAACGAAGTCTGATACTTGATAGTAACTTGATTAAATAAAATAATGCAAGAGGATAATAGTTAACAAAGTACAGAAATACAATTAGAACACAGGGCCCGAAAGCCAGTCAGCACCATGTCAGATGAGTGTGCTTTAGTGATCCACATAGTCTCAATTAAATATCTTGTTAAATTAAAAAAAAAATAAAACAAGAGTTTTGGGTCTCCCTTCGATTAATCCTGAGGATCTGCTGTCAGTCCACATTAACAAGGCCACTCAATTCAAACGCATACCCCGCGTGACCTGAACAGATATGGAAAACCTGCCAGATTAAGGATTTTTTTTTCAAGAAACTGCTGCATCCTGCCAGATTATGTGAGATTGGAAAATGAGATCAATGTCGTCTGTTGTTAAACAAAAGGTTTAAACAGAAGAGTTGCTTAAAACATTTAAATGTGATTAGTGTATGCGGTTCTTATATTTTAAACACGCAATTTTAAAGAAAATGTTTTTGTTTTTTTGCGACAAATTGGAAATGATGGATTAAACGCAGACGAAGTGTTTTCATCATTTACAGTAAATTTTAAAGCGTTCCATTAAAACGCGTCTTTCTCTCCTTTCTGAAGTTAAACGGTCCCTCTAATCCCTGTTTCCTTTGGATCGTGGAGTTTCTGCCCTGTCCTCCTGGCCCGAGGTGACCCGATCCGGGCCGAGGTGAGTCGATCCGGTCCGACTCGTTACCTTATTAAAGGGAAGCAGATTAAAGATCAAACGCCGCTGTCAGCTCGCGTTCGCGGAGATGAGAGACAGAAATGAGTTGTGACAAGTCCCGTGGTTCGAGCTGAGCCGTGATGCGTCAACCTGGTGAATCACCGCAGAGGAGGAGAACAGGGGAAGAAGAGGAGACAGGGATGGAAAAGAGGGGAGGAATGGGAGAAAAAGAGGAGGAGGAGGAGGTACAAAAAGAGCTCCGCCGTCATTCCGTCTGTCACACAGACCACACAAGTCAGAGGATAAATTTAAACGACGTCCTGAGGAAGGTTACTCTCAAATTTATTTTTCTTTTTTTTTATTTTGAACAAAAAAGTTCGTTCATCCTGTAAAGACCGAGTCACCACATCACCTGTGTTAAAAAGTTACGAATTTCTTTTTAGTTGAGATTGGAATTAACGGTTCTGGAGACCATGAGAAGCTTTGGTAAAGGTAAGATCATAAATCTAATTATCTTATTAAAACCTGTGGATATAAATCATTATTATTACATCTTTTAGACACGTATTGCATTAAAAGTCACAAAACAGATTATTCTTAAAAAAGCAACAAAAGACTATTTACAATAGTATTTATAGACAAAAAAGGACTTTGTCAAATTAAACGTTATTTATTTATAATGTCACTAATACTAGTAATAGTAATTATTATTAGTAGTAAACAATGTTTTTTAACAATAGAACAAAAACAATTAAAAGTGTGTGTGTGTGTGTGTGTGTGTGTGTGTGTGTGTGTGTGTGTGTGTGTGTGTGTGTGTGTGTGTGTGTGTGTGTGTGTGGTCTCACACCCTGACTAAAGTGAATAATGTACTTTCTCATATCAGTGACAGCTACCTAGACAGGAGCTTCTGACCCCATCAAATTCACACACACACACACACACACACACACACACACACACACACACACACACACACACACACACACACACACACACACACACACACACACACACACACACACACACACACACACACACACACATTTATCTGTTCAGGTACATCCAGAAACACCCGTAACTCCTCACATGGCTCTGATGCAACACTCAGAGGGAAAACCAGCAGGGAGACTTGAATTAGTGTCGGTGTGTTTCAGATAAAACCTTTAGTGTGTCTTGGATCAGGGGCCGACCAATCACAGGAAACAATAGGAGGAAGGAGGAGGGGAGGAGGAAGCGGGAGGATGAAGTGAACCCTTCACTGCGTTTGATTGGCTGGAGCCATCCTCGATTCTTCATGGTGCACATGTCAGGAGGGTAGTGGTGGTTGTGTGTGTGTGTGTGTGTGTGTGTGTGTGTGTGTGTCAGAGGGGTATGAAAGCAAAAGGAGGTATGAACAGAGGAGGAGAGGGGGACCGGCAGCAGAGGGGTTAATGCGGTGCAGATTGACAGAAGTTAGCAGCACCCAGAGGGGAGGAGAGAGGAGAGAGGGGCTGATATAAAATGAGTCGGTCACGCTTTGAACAGTTACACATGCTGTTTACATTTTTCCCAAATTAACATGGCCCCTCGCTTCAGAAAGCTCCCCCACCTCTCCCCTCCACCTTTTCCTCTTCCTCCACCTTCTTCCCTCTGTCTCTATCCCTCAAGACTCCACAAAGTTCATCCTTCACTTTCAGATCAAGATGCCACTTTTCTTTTAAACTTCCTCTTGTGCCACGAAGTAGGCAATTTTAGAATTTTTATGTCAGAAATGTCCAACAAACAAGTTAATTATGAAAGTCTCAAATGAGTTTTTATTTAAAAAACATTATTTGGTTATAATTTTAGTTGCAAGCAGATGCTTTTTTAAATTTTTGTATTTAAAGTTTACATGTAACCGCTGTTATTTGAATCAGTCCTCAGAACTGTGACCACATCACCACAGGAGCAACGGGCCTTCAGGATGTTTAACGTTTTTAAAGTTTAGGCTCTGTGTTCATAGTTGCAGGATGGCTCCAGAATTGGGAGCAGCTACATTTAAAAAGATTGGATGAAAAATGTTGTGTTTGTCTCGAGGAGGAGTTTGAGTTTCCTCTAAACGGTCCTCTGAAAGTTCTCAGTCATCCATGCTGAGCCTTCAAAGGAACTGGGCGTTTGAAGACGTTTCGCTTCTCATCCAAGGATCTTCTGCTCTAATAATTCTCAGATGAGAAGCAAAACGTGTAACGTAAAAGAAGAAGCGTCCAGTTTTCTCCTTTCGAACTTCTGCAAAGAGCCGTTGAAAAGCACTCGGCTGCTGTTGCCCAGAGACCCAAGAAAGACGCTCCTAGCACAGCTGATCAGGCCAAGAGAAAATATAAGTCCAGTAATTAAAATCAAACACAGTACTTTCTGGTGCTTTATGAGTTTTGTTTATCACCCTAACCCTGGTCCTAGCAGCACCAATTTGGTTGTTGGTGGTCGTTGTTATAAGGAGGATTTCTGTGAGTGTTTGCATCAAACTGATAATTAAAATCAGAGAAGAGAGGAAATAAAAGGAAGCTTCAAATTCAGTAAGTTATTGTTTTTATTTATTTTGTACCCCAAAAGAAAAAACTGAAAAATAAAACGTTCAGATGACCATTAAATTCCCTGAATCCAAGGACCTAAAGAGAAAAAGTAGCAGATTAAAAAAAAAAATTCACCGCCGTTTGATCTGTTTTTTATTTGATCGATCGCCCTGGATCGTCTGGATTCCTACTCTCCTGTGTGTGTTGGTAAAAACCACGAGGTCAGGTCAGAGGAAGCAGTTAGGAAGAGGTAAATCAAAAGCTGAAGGTCTGAAAAAGTGGAGGAAGAGAATGAATGACACCGATGGAGGAAGAGGAGGAGAGGGTTTCAGAAACTCTTGGAATAAGAAACAAAGAGCAGGACGGACGAAGTGACAATGAAATTGGAACCAAACACGGCAATAAAAACGAAGTAACAGAAAAATTTCACTCGGGAATAAAAGATGGGCTTATAAGGTAAAGAGAGGAAGAGCGACTTCAAGGCGAGAAGAACAAACCGAGCCGAGGATGTAGAGTTTACGACGCTGAGAAGTGGTTTCTGGGAATAAACTTATTTTTTATTGGACCTTCTAAACGACTGCATTTCCTTTGTTTTTGGGGTGACTGATGTTTACTGACTGTGCCTGCTCCTGAGAGGCTCGCAAAAGCTCTGCATGAACAAAGAACTGCGATGGGTGAAGAGATGAGAGGAGTGTGTGTGCACACACGCTTGTTGTTGGCTTTTTAAAACACACACACACACATGCATACGTGTGTGTGTTGAGTTAGTAATGGAATGCACATTTGATTGAGTACAGGCTGCACGTCACATAAATCTGGCCTTTAACTGTACACACACACACACACACACACACACACACACACACACACACACACACACACACACACACACACACACACACACACACACACACACACACACACACACACACACACACACACACACACACACACACACACACACACACACACACACACACTGACCCTAAGCCTGGATCATCAACCAGCAGCACCAACATGTGTGTGTGTCCTTTTCGCCTCCGAACCTCTCATTGCTCTGTTGGTTTGTGCGTTACCAGCAGGTAAAACAAGCAGACGTTTGCTATCGCGAGTCCCTTCTGTCAGACACACAACCAGCCTCCAAATCTGCAGATCAAGGCAGCAGATGAGTCCGACAACATGCGTCCAAACCGTTATTTCGTAAAATATGCAGATTTTGAAGCAACGCAGTAATGTAGAACATGTTTGGATCTGTGCATGTCCACCTGTGAGGGGGTGAGTGAGTGCAGCAGGATGTGAAAGCTAAAATAAAAAGTGAGGTGTGCTGATGACAACATGAACTTCCATGTTTGTTCCTCATGCAGATCTGATGTCTCTTAGGAGGTTACAGGTTTTTTAGGCCTTGGGCACTCTCTGGGATTTTACAGATTTGATGTGCTTTAGAGACAAGGACATGGTTCTGGGTGTTGATTGTGGATTCTTAACCCTCGCCGTGTTGTTCTTTCCTCCAGACGTTGCTCTCTTTTCCTGGCCTCATCAGTCTAATATTTCTTGGATAATTAGAATCCGTTGGACTCCAGCTTGGAAAACGAACTGAAGAAAATTCACCTATAAAAAAGAGCAGAGTCACATATTTTGTCTGATTGTTTAATTTTTCAGTTACTTGGTTCTTTTGTAGAAGACTTGTTTCAGTTCTGTTTATTTTTAGAGAAATAACACACTAACATGCCAAGTTGGAATGGAAGAATAGTTTAATCCGGTACTAAATGTATTAAAAGTGTCAGATTAAGAGACTACCTAGTGTGCTACTCGCCCTCCTCTTCCTCAGATCGAGGGCATGCTACAGCATCATGTCTATATTATTAAGTAAATGTTGGATGAACATTCATGTTCCAAAACGAGGCGTGACACATTGTTAAACTCATGTCGTCGTTCCTCCTCTGCACCAGTAAATTTACATTTGTTCAGCGGTTTAAATCGACGCGATCTTCATTTCCAGCAGTTTAAGCTGAAACCAACACGTGTGTTTTTTCTTTTCCTGTTGACTGTGTCAGTCGGACAAACATCTTCTCACACGTCACATCCTCCTAGCTCGTCCATGGTGGGAATCTGAGGTTCCCTTCAACACCTCGGAATAATCTGTTCACGTGTTATCAAGCCAGGTTTAGTTACGTTTATTTACCTGAGGGCTACCGTTACGCCTCATGGAGACAGTGTTGGAGACCCAGGAGGGTCACGCTCCAACACTTTATCCCACAGGAGGAAATCCCTAAAACATTCCCGTAACACATGTATTAATAGTTCATTTATTTGTTAACAAAAATAAAAATAATTTTGGCAGATTTTATTCTCCTGCTCTTGTATCAAACTTCTTCAATGAAACAGCTTAAAGAAGATATTTTTGAGAATGGTTTAGGATTTATTTGCATCCAGGATGAACAGCTAAACGAACTTCCTAGGTACTCCTGTTGTTTCTCATTAGTCGAATCACAACAAGCACTTATTTTTCATCAGATTTGAGCAAACATAAATAAGACTTTGGAATAAAATGGTGTTTATACATAAAGGTGCATTTCTGAAGGTGGCTTTAATCCACGGCGTCACCTTAAAGAACGTCATTACGGCTTCCCTGATGTTACCTGATCTCTGTATTTGAGGCGCCGCGGCGAGCAGCACGGTCTGTGCTTGTTTACAGCCAAGTCTTGTCTCACAATTTACACCCTCTAAATCCTCATAACGCACTTTGGCCGTCCTAATCAATGTCACAAGGGAGATGATAAACAGAAATTTCCACCTGATTAACAACATCTTCTGCAAGCGTACGTTATTTTTCCTCTCTGTTAGGACCTCTTTCAAGTGGTTAGAGTGATGGAGGGCAACCGTTGTTTGGCAGCCAGTTTTTCCTCCACCAGACTGGAAAGATTTACTCGCACATGGTTTTCCCACCGTACCAAATTCTCTTTAAGTGCTTGTTTAAAACCTCAAATGGAAGTGCGTGTTGTGAAAGATGACATTTGGGTCCTCTTGGGTGGAAGCGGTACAACGAACACCGGTTTTACCAAAACACGGTCCAGAGCGTAAAATATCATGTGTTACACGGGGTTTGCTTTGCCCCTGAACGCTGCCTCGTGTCCTAAAATTCAACTCTGAACCCTGACCTTGTGGTGATGTTTAATTTGAACCTGTTTGGGGCTCAGAAGCGCTGCTGCCCAAACCTTCTGTTCGGCCTTCTTCTGTTCTGCAGATGGCAGCCAGACTCCTGAGAGCCACATCTGATGTTATGTTGGAGAACAAACCAAAACTAAAAAATATGATGTGCTGTAGCTCTCTTGCGTGTGTGTGTGCGTGTGTGCGTGTGTGTAACTATAAAGTAGTTCCGTACACCCAAGTGCACAGAGGCAGGTCATGGTCAGCCATTGTAGGGAACCCCCTGTGTTGCTGTAATGGGATCCTCCCATGGAGAATGTTCTAGTCTCAACCCTGCCCTGCAGAGTGTGCTTCTGCTGCCAGGTACACACACTCAGCCTCAAACCCTCAGGGCTCGCCTTGAAGTCAGACTATATGCCGACGACACTGCAGTTGCTCAATCTAATATTATATAACAACAAGACGGCTCCGGGTTCCAGCTATCTCAGTTTACCCGTACAAAAGAGGGTTGTGTTTAGCCACAGCAGAGGTTGCTTTCTTACATGTCAAAGCTCAATCAAAACAACAAGAGCCTTTCACGTCTGGCAATCATCTCCGAGCATGTGGCTGCAGACTAAAGGAACTGCTTTGGAGCAGTTTTCTTTCCCCATCCAGGAATGATGTTATTTTTTTTGGTACCTGTTTATTCCTTTTGAATGCAACCCATTTTGCACGCTGTGTGTCCTCTTCCCTCAGGGCTGTTTACTGTGAGTCAACGATCCTGTGGTGACTTTTACTGCTAATGGAGGTTGTTCATTGGGAGGAACCGGCAGCTTGATGAGCTCCAAATGTGCCTCTGAAAGATGCATATTGCGCGTGACAGGTGATGAGGCTTTTGCAGCCCAGAAGAACAAAGGAAGCTCATCTGACAGGGGCTGTCCTGGTTGTGTGTGTGTGTTTGTGTGTGTGCATGTGTGTGTGTGTTAGTGTGTGGACATGTGGGAGCTGCATGGCTAAACCTCAGTAATTTAGATAATAGTCTGGGGGCATGTTTTGATGTTGTCAACAGCTGAGGATTAACAGGTAGCAGCAGAGTTACCAGTTGTACTTGGTGTTTTTCATCAGTTTGGGAGTTGTTTGTTCAGGTTTTGTCAGCGTTGCTACAGTGACAAGCGTTTCTAATCCCGTTTTAATTTGAATCTGCCATTTTCCTTTAACTGTCATTCAATCTGTCACTGGAACATGTTTAATAAGTGTGTTTTGAAGTGAGGTTGGGTTTGTCAGGTGGGTTTACATCATGCTGCAAGTAGATTCATGAATCCAATTTGTTCTCTTCCAAATTACTTCCCAGATTTATTTCATGACAAATAAACTACACTACAGGGTCATTTTTCTACCTGACTTTTCTTCCATCTTTAAATAATTGCCTGCTCCTTTCACAGATCAGAAAGTAATTAACTAAAAATGTACAGCTGGCTTACATTTAAACGATTCCATTGAAAAGAGTGTGTTAAGTTTTTTAAGTAATTTTAATTTATTGAGGGAACTGCACTTTGGGTTAATATTCTTAAGCATTAATCCAAATAAGGATTTTTAAATCAAATCTAATTTTAATTTTGAAATAAAATTCTGAATAAAGTCTGAATCCTTACATTAAAATCTAAATATAAATTTGGTAGTTTAATGCAGACTTCTGTAAAATGGTTATTGTGGATCATATGTGCAGGGAGCATCATTGATAGATGATCAACAAACTCACACGATCAACAGGATTCTAGAGAGGGGCTCTCTACATCCCGATTAGTTTACTTTTGCTACTTTCATTCCACGTCAGTCTGAATCTGCATATTAGCTACTCTACTTATATTATTATTTTAATTTCATCATTAAATTGTGACTTTATGTATTTGTATTTGATTCTAAACATTTAGATTTAACTGCATATTTAGATATTAATCTAAATATTTAGATTTAACTATATGCTGGGGTTTGAATCTGATAATTTGGCTTTAACTATATATTTATATATCAATCCAAGTATTTACATTTAACTATATATTTATATAGAAATCCAAGAATTTAGATTTAACTTTATGTTTATATATCAATCCAAGTATTTAGATTTAACTATGTGTTTATATATTCAGTATTTAGATTTAACTATATGTTTATATATTCAGTATTTAGATTTAACTATATGTTTATATATTCAGTATTTAGATTTAACTATGAGTTTATATATTAAGTATTTAGATTTAACTATATGTTTATATATTAATCTAAATATTTAAGTTTTACTTTATACTTTGATTCGAATCCAAATATTGAGATTTAATTATATAATGAGGTTTGAATCTGAATATTTGTCTTTAGAAATGTTATGTGAAGCTATAAAAGGTAAAACCAAACAGTAAAATTATTGAAGGTATGACTTTACAATCATTGCCCCACACATACTTGAGCTATTACTCATCCTACCCTCTAAATCTCTCAGACTTGTACATTTTTGTGCACTGACTTGTATATAATACATACGAGTTTCTACCCAGCCCTGTTTGGGAGTGAGGACCAATACGACAAATGTAGGAGGCTGAGTCAGAGGAAAACCCTGCTGACTGTTTAAGGTCAGTTGCTTTTTTAAAAACAGGCCTGGTTGCGTGTTAAGACAAAATGTTTTGAAAGATGTTGAAGGGATTCACTTTAATTCTCTTGCTCTTCTTGTGAGGTCCGCCGTGAAAGACGAAAGACTGGAAAAAGGAAGAAAAGGGGCGACAGAGAGGGGGCAGGAGAAGCTAATCAGGGTTAATTGGCTGCTGGGACTTTTTTTTTTTTTTTACTTTACCCTAGGCAGAAAAGAAATCAGAGAAGAAAGGAAGACCAAAGTAAACTGTGACTAATTTACTACAGGAGGTGTGTCTGAGGTGGAAAATAGATAAAGGAAGGCATGGGGTCACGCTCATTGTCCCATAAATACACCTGATGTATGAATCATAGATTTCTGCCTGGGTGATAAGAGGATGAAAGTGAGGGCGGACAGGATGGTTGTGTTCTTGAGCGAAGCTGAAGGATGTGTTCGGAGAGCGTGGACAAGGACGGCTTGGAAATTAAAGCATCCAAGGAGCAAAAAGAACAATTGGACGTACACGAAGTTCCTCTCACAGCTGAAAACCACCTTTCAGCTCTAATTTTCTCTGTTTGAAAACAGAGATGGGGGCACTAAAAGGTTCCCAGTACCCCCCCCCGTAACACACACACACACACACACACACAAACTAAACCCTGCACACACTAACAGCAAAACTGAAATTAATCCACCTATAATATATAATATATAATTATGACGACAAACACTCAGATGGTATCTAAGAACACCTACACAAACACTCTGAGAGCTAAACAGGAAGTCCACAGCAAACACACAACTGATGCTAACCCGTCAATGTTTGTGATTGTAAAGAAAACCAGATGTCTTTGTGTGTGTGTGTGTGCGTGCGTGCGCATGTTGCCTGACAATCTTGAGCACTGAACATATGAGCCATTTGTTCGACTGTTTCCAGCTATTAGGAGAGGTTTCATTGAGGGCCAGAGTAAACCTCGGATAGCCATTTAAATCAACCTGGAAACAGAAAAACACGTTATTTCCGGCATCAGATGACTCACAGTCATGAAATCCATTGAAAAACTCTAATTCCAACTTAAATAATTACAAAAAGTCTGAGAAAATGATATCCCTGTCTTTGTTATCATAGCTCTGGTGTACGTGCACACACTTGGACGCCTGAGACGTGTGCTTCAGTAAAGAAACGTCTTTTATAATTTTTAATTGGTCTTCTACTTTAATTTCTCCACAGTCAATCAAATGATCACGTTTCTGCTGGCTGCTGCTGTGTCGCTGGCTGCAGAGCCTTCCCACACCCTGGCCAGTGAGAGAAGTTCAATAGAGAGCACATATGAGCTGACCAAGTACCTGGAGTATCAGCTGAAGGAAATCAAAGACGTATATGTGAGTCTGAGCTCCTGTTCCCCCGTGTTAAAGCTGTGGCCCTCCAGGGCCGCCGTACTGAGTGCTTGGGTTGTTTTCATGCTGATTCAGAGGTTTGATTAGTTAAAACATTTAAAACATGCAGTCATTTATAAAAGTAATAAATTATCACTTATGCGCTTCGATGCTTCAAAGTGTCATAATGGATTAACTGCATGTTTTTAAAGCTTTTACATGGTCAGTTTTAACCATAAAACTCTACGGTTATACGCGAGTTTTAACATCATCATCAGCAAGAAGCAGCACCTCTGGTGCATCTCGGAGCTCCAGCAAGAATTTTTCAGTGATATTGTCAAAATAATTACTTAATGAAACGGTTCTGTAGTGCTGCAGGATGTAAATAATGGAGGCAGTTTTCGACGCTATCAGCAGGTCATTTGGTGATATTTGTGATTTTTACACGGAAACACTCTTTAAAGTGATCCCAAAATCAACTTGATAGACAAGGCGCCACACAAATGTGTTGTTGAAAGACTTTAATGCACAAATAAAACTTTCTTTTTAAAATACTAATAAACCAGAAGGAAAATGAACTTTTAAGTTTCTAAAGTCTTCTTGTGTGCTTTTATTTCGACAAATATTGGTTGGGGTTAGGGTTAGCCGATGATTATTTTTCTACTTTTTGATGCATAAAGCTAATTTAGCTTTATGCTAAATTTCTCTTTGTCTGTTTCTGTTAGACGTTTAAACATGTCTATTTACCAGTAAAATGCAACTGAGGCATTGTTTCTTTTTCAAAACATTTCTTTCAGGACAAACATTTTATTGTTTTTTTCCATTCATTCTTCTTCCTCTAGTTATTTAGGTTTGGTCATCTTTCTTGTGTGGACTAATTTGCATAATTTATTTGCTTGGTTATGGGAATGCGGTGCAGAATCTTGTTCATTCATTCATGACAGATTTTTATGCAAACACTGCGGCTAGCCAAAGTATTTTGTAAGTATAAGTTGGGAGAGAAAACAAAGCCGAAGTGCAGAGTCATTGTCAGTCGTCAGCGGGCCGAGGTGGGGTTTTGTGTCCACTCTGGTGCCTCTGTGGCAGCGGATTTCCTGACAGAACGTTTCAGTCTGAGCTTGACAGGTAAATAAAGTGGTTGCAGTGATGTGTGCAGACTGTCATATTAAAACAACCACGTGTGCCTCTTCAGTCTGAGGAACTTTACGGGTCTTTATGGCGTTTGAAAACTGGACCCATTTAACCGTCCTGCTCCGTCTCTTCCAGCTGACCTATCTCGGACCACCGTTCAACGAGAAAGACTTCACTCCTCCTCGGCCCAACAGCACGGCTCTGACTCTGCCAAGTGCTGCTACCAAAGTCAAACAGTGGCACGAACTGGAGAACCAGGCCCGCTTGGTTCAGAACCAAAGGGCTTACTCCATCCTGCTGGCAGCCGTTAGGGAGCTGGCCCGGTCCACTCTCTGCCCCTCTCTTAAGATCTCCCTGCTCCACTTCTGCACCGGTCTGGATGGACTCCTGGGCTCCATCTCTGCCCTGATGACCTCCCTTGGGTACTCATCTCCTCCCCAGTCTGTAAACGTGGGAGGAAACGCCGGTGAGAGGCATTCCCTACAGAGGGGGCCGGGAGCAATCCAGCCTGCTTCACTCATGAGCCCGAGGCCGTACAGATCCATTTCCAGGTCCGGTCAGCGTAGCAGCCAAAGGAGGAGTGGGACGAAGGGGACCAGAGGAGAGAGGGAGGATAGCATCAGCGTGGGCGCGATGGACAAAAGGAGAGGGAGAGACGGGAGGAGGTCCGAGCCTACCACCCCACAGAGGAGTGGTAGGCTGAAGGGAAAAGGAGAACGAGTGAGAAGAGAGAAGAGGGAAGAGCTGGCTTGGACGCTGGAAGAGGAGCAGCACAGACAAGTGGAAGGCAAGGGGAGGAGGAGATTGTTGAATATCGAGGAGGATGAGGGCGAGAAGGACAGAGAGCATGAGATCAAGGTTGAATTGTCGTATTTGAGTTCCGGAGGAGTCATAACTCAGAAGGAAACCTACAACAATCAGTACAAATTCAACTCGAAGTCACACAACCGGGACACGCTCCAAGGAGACGGCTTCTCTCTGGGAAGAAACACAGAACTCATTCATCAGGAGAAGCAGACAAATATAGACTCCTCCTCATCCTCCTTCGATGTACACCATCGGCCTCCTCGCTCCCTCCTCCCCCCTACCCTACCACCTCCTCTGTCCACCCTCTCCCTCCTGTACCAGTTAGAAGCAGGTGAGGAGCACACTCTCCTCCCTCAGACTGTCCCACCCTCTTTACAAAGGAGCACCTCACTCTTATCACCTCCCTTGAGCCCACTCCTGTCCTCGTCCACCACCTCCGCTTCCTCCTCGCTCCTGTCGGTGCGACCAACAATGAACGATTTTTCCAGGAAGGTGGAGGGGTTCTGGATACTGAGAGAGCTGCAGAGCTGGCTGGTGCGGTCGGCGAAGGAGTTCAGCTGTCTGAAGAAGGCAATCAGAGGCTGAAACCTTCGGACAAAACTGGACACAGACACGAAATCTGTTGTTTCCACCATGTTTGGGAGGAGAAAAAGATAAAACTAAGCCCATTACTGCATTCATTCCTAACACACTCATTCATCCTCTACTGGAATTGGTAGATGAAGGACCCGGCGGGTCACCAGACTAGTTACTGGAATATAAAACACACAAAGCCGCCACATTAGCTGTCACTGATGCACATAGCAGGTCATTCAGCCAGCCGGCTCGGAGTTTCCGGCCTTCGCAGCTCATAGATCAACACAAATGCTGCTGTAGGTGGTTAGACTCAACCAGCCCAACCAGACACACAGTGGAGCCATTCAATGCAAACCAGTTCAGTGACCTCACTTTTGTGAATCAGCAAACATTCATTTTCTCTAGAGGAGGAAAAAAACGTGAATGGGTAAAAAGACAAAAGAGAAGGAAAATGCCCAGAGGGACGGTGGAGGCACGGGGTGCGTGGGTGGGTGAGGGCATGACTCAGGGGCGGACTGCTGGAAATAACCAGCCGGCGGATATTGCTGAGTAATTATTAATAAAACACTCGGTTACAGTAACTGACCAGGCGGACACTGCTGGGTATTCCAACACGCTGCTGGTGGCTGTTTGGGCTCCAGAGCTCACAACGTCAATTAACAACAAATTTTTGCCACACCTGTTGAAATTCATAAGTAGGAAAAAGCACAGTTCACTTTTCTGTGGTGAGCTAATTTTAAAGATAGTTGACTTAATTCTTACTGAGAACTAAGTACCTGTCAGCTTAAACAAACTAACAAACAAAAAAAAAAACACCAAAGTCCTGTCATGTCTTAGCTGTGTGATTAGGAACTATTGAATTATTTATAGATAGATAGAAAATGATAGTTGTCATTTGACAAACCACAAACAACAAAATCTCCCCACCTGTTCTTCTAAACTTACATTTTAACTCATTTGTTCATGATAGATGGGACAAAAGTTGTCAAGTTTAAGAAAGGTAAATCTCATCACTATCTGCTATTTGCTAATAATCTAGCTCACGGCCCCGTAGACGTTTGTTGTTGTGCATTCTGGTGGACACTCAAAGCTGCAACATTCCTCTAAAACCACCTGTTTTACGTTTTGTAACAACGTCTGTGCTTCTGAGCTAATGCAAACAAATTTTCAGCAATTAGACAGGGCCAGGTGTGCCTGCTAATGAACGTGTAACCAACTTTATTTCTGATCAGATTTGGTGTCCTGTGCCAGTCCGATTAGGCCAACAAATTCACGACTCAGTGATGGGACCATTTTCATGACCCAACCAGCTGTTTGACTGATGTGCAACAAACTCACTCCTCATTGTCACCATCCCAAAAGTCAAATACAAAAAGAGTTGGTACACACACAGAAATAACTGTGAGCGGACAGATGTGAATGTGTCCTCAGTGCCTTACACCAGTAGTTGCTGCTGCAAACATGAGATTTATTAATTTATGCCCATGGTGACCAGGAAGGGTCACAACAACCACGTTCAGTAGTGTGATGTTTCACTGAAGTGTTGAACCATTCCTTCTCTGTTCCAAACCCAGACAGTTCTCCTCACTCATGAGGTCAAATACTTGTTCAGAGTAAACGTGTTTCATGTGAAATGTGCCGGATGAGATGACCAAAGGTTATGGACCATACTGACATTATTTATTGAACAATTTATTGTTTATTTATTTTTCCAGATTGAAAATACTGTACTGTAACTCGAGAGAGAATAAATACTAGCTTTTGTACACAGCTTGGTGTCGCTGGTCCTTCGGGAGGCTGTTTTGACTCAGAATGAAGAAATGCACTTTTGTTTTAGTTTTATGGAGATGGCTTCAGGTGATTGACGCTTGGGGAGAGGACTTCGATATCGGGGCGTTTCCTAACGAACAAAGGCCAGCTCACATTTGTGGAGAGGTAGGGGTTTTATTTGTCTGTCCGGGTGAAAATTTACGATCTTCTTCTTTTCATCGTTCTCTTTCCACCCCCCAGTAGACTTTAGTTTCTTATCACACTCTCTCACGAGGCTCCTCTTCCCTCCAGAGGACAGGTACAAACACACCTTGATGGTCCCACCTCTCTTGTTGTGTTTATTTAGTGTTCTTATTCTGTTACCACCTCTGCTTCTTATCCCTCATTCCTAGTCTCCAGTCTTTTATCGTCCTAGCACCTGTTACCTGTCTCCTTGTTATCATTACGATTCTTCCTACAGGCTTTACAGTCTCGTCGTCTTGACCGTGGGCCAAATAATAAAGGATCAACAAGAAACTCCTCTCCATCACCTTCACGGTACACACACACACACACACACACACACACACACACACACACACACACACACACACACACACACACACACCACACACACACACACACACACACACACACACACACACACACACACACACACACACACACACACACACACACAAGTGCATGGAAAAGCCTTAGCTGTGCAGGAAGTGATTTATTTTGGAGGTCAAGTGGGTCACTTCTGACACACAAACACTCATGACTCTCACTAATAAAGGGTTAAAAGTGTCAGACGTGTGACACACACACACACACACACACACACACACACACACACACACACACACACACACAGTGTGTGTTTTTCACATTCAGTAAGCAATGACTGAGGTGCCGCCAGTAATTGACAAAGACAGCTTTGTCGGCTCAACGGGTGTGCGTTTATCAGTGTGTGTGTGTGTGCATTGTTTTCCTCTGTGTGGGCTTTGTGAGCCCACCACGTGTGTGAATCATTATCTGTATGTGTCAGAATTTGGCTGGAATGAGGCTTGTCGTGCATAGCTATCTAACAGCCATCACTCACTGTAGCCTGGCTCTTCTCTGCCTCTCCCTGTCAGCAAGGCAGAGACAAACTGCCGTAACTAATGTGTAACAGCCCTGATGAGCCCCGTAAACTATGACTCAGTGGGCGAGTTCATCGATAAGAACAGAAACTGACTGACTTAGCATCAATATTATTGGTCCATCAGGATTAATAAACCAGCGATGATCTAGAGGAACGGCTCAGCTCCTCTCTTCCTGTTCAGGCTCACTTGGTTTTTTCCCTTTATAACACAACAGGTTTTATATTTCAAGCTTCTTATAGTTTTAACTTTCTCTTTTTCCTCTTAAAATGCTCAGGAAGCTGAAATGAGGACTTCCAGCTAATTAAAAATGAAGCAGTTTACGAGCTTGGTGGGACAAAAAACTCCTCAAGGCATGGCGCTCAACTAAATAGAATAAAGCTCTGATATACATAAATAAATACAGAAATCACTTTGTTATATTTTCATTTTAAATTAGCAAAGAAATAAGGCTGCAGGTCACCCAAAACAAAACTCTCTAATAGGCCCTACTTCTGTTAACATGAACAATAAGAAGAAGAAGCAATCTTTTATATAGTGCCTCTCAAGATATAAATCAGGAGGCACTTTACAAGAACCAATATTTAAAAAATGAAACAATACAAAGATTAAAAAATATTTTAAAAATATCTGGAAAATTTAGAAAAGTTAAAGAAACAGTGTGATAAAAGATGTGAGGAAAGGGAAAATGAATAAGAAAGAGATAATTAGTGGATCCAGGGAAAAGCAGAATTGGTAGAAAGAGCCACATAAATGAGGAGAAGGTAGTGATGAAGAATCAACCAAAGGTCATGCAAAAGCCAGGCCTGCAGGTGAGTTGTCAGCTGCCACTGAGTCCACTAATCTCAGACTTGTTCTGGTACCTTCAGCATCTCTGGTACCTGCAGCATATCTGGTACCTGCAGCATCTCTGGTACCTGCAACATCTCTGGTACCTGCAGCATCTCTGGTACCTGCAACATCTCTGGTACCTGCAGCATCTCTGGTACCTGCAACATCTCTGGTACCTGCAACATCTCTGGTACCTGCAGCATCTCTGGTACCTGCAGCATCTCTGGTACTTGCAACATCTCTGGTACCTGCAGCATCTCTGGTACCTGCAACATCTCTGGTACTTGCAACATCTCTGGTACCTGCAGCATCTCTGGTACCTGCAACATCTCTGGTACCTGCAACATCTCTGGTACCTGCAGCATCTCTGGTACCTGCAGCATCTCTGGTACTTGCAACATCTCTGGTACCTGCAGCATCTCTGGTACCTGCAACATCTCTGGTACTTGCAACATCTCTGGTACCTGCAGCATCTCTGGTACCTGCAACATCTCTGGTACCTGCAGCATATCTGACACCTGCAACATCTCTGGTACCTGCAGCATATCTGGCACCTGCAGCATCTCTGGTACCTGCAGCATATCTGGCACCTGCAGCATCTCTGGTACCTGCAGCATATCTGGCACCTGCAGCATATCTGGTACCAGCAGCATCCATGCTTTCGTTCTTTTTTAAACACAGAAACAGTTTTGTTTACCTGTTTGTAGCTACGGTTTCGCCGACAGCTGCCGGCTTCTTCAGGCTGACGCTGATGGTGGCGCGTCACTTCCTTCTCCGTTTATCTGCGGGCAGCAGAGGACGTTGTCGCCCTCTACTGCCCGCTCTCCCCTCTCCGACGATGCAGTCCCATGCGTGGTCCAGCGTGTAAACTCCGTCGTCCCTGTTCATGGTCCCACATCCACGTCTCCTTATCTCTATTGCTTCCTTGATCCATCTTTTGTATTTTTGTTGTTCAGTGGTTATGATCTGTGTGCTGTCCCAGTCCATTATATGATTTTCTCTTAAGCAATGATCTGTTACGGCTGACTTTTTTATTGTACTTTCTGCTTCTTCTTTTGCTGCTCTTGTGTGTTTACGATTTGCCTCTTTCTCGCACTCCTTTCTGTGTTCTATTGTCCGTGTATCACCTAAGATGTTCAAAGAGAAATACGGACAACAAGGAACGAAGGACTTCCGCCGTTTGGAACGATTACACCAGAAACGCGCACGTCTAAGAAACCACCTTCGCTTCTGTTTAAGATGCCGGGACGAAAACATCACACCCACAAGCCTACAGGTGAAAACACCGATCCGGACCCAGACAGCACAAAATATAATAGAAAGAGCACAGAGAGCACTGCTCAAGGAGAGGATAAGGAACGTCATAACCAAACAGAGGCGTGTGGAGGACGAACTGAAAAGAGGACACCTGGACTTGAAAAGGAATTACAAACTTGATAAACAAATGGAGGAACTAATTAAAGGACACATGATGGAAAAACAGGAACAAGAGTTCATAAAAGTGAAAGAAAGACACATAAAGAAGTTAAACAGACTCATAAACAAGAAAAAGAGGGGAGAAATACAAGGCAACTCCACACCAAACTCATGGGTATGTAACATTTCACAATACAAACTAACAGAAGCAGAAGAGAGCATATTAAAGAAAGGTTTAAACTTTGCAGTCACACCAAAAGAAATACCATATGATGAATTTATTGTAGCAACAGAACTAGCATGTCAACAGATCACAGATGAGGGAAAGAAAGCAGAACTCAGAAATAACGTAGTTGGGATATTAAAAAACAGCCAAATTCAACACAGCAATATTACAAAAGAAGAACAATCAGCCATGACAGCTTTATCCAAAAATGAACAGATAATTATTCTACCGGCAGACAAAGGAAGAACCACAGTAGTTATGGACAGAGAAAAATATAAACAACAGATGAAACAGATGCTAGAAGACAAAAATACATATGAAATACTTAAAAAAGATCCAACAGAAAACATTAAGAAAAACATGAAAAAATTACTGAAGCCACTGCACGAAAAAGGCAAAATAACAGAAAAAATGTACAAACACTGGATTCCCACAGCAAACATAACACCAAGAATATATGGAACACCAAAAATACATAAACAAAACACCCCACTTAGACCAATAGTTGACAGCATAGGTACACCAACATACAACATGGCAAAAGATATCAGCAGAATCATCAGCCCGTTATTAGGAAATACAGACCAACACTGCAAAAATAGTATAGAATTGGCAAAAGAACTAAAGGAAATTACAATAGAAGACAACGACATACTCATCTCACATGACGTCACATCTCTGTTCACAAAAACACCAACCCAAAAAACCATAGACATAGTAGTTAACAGAATCAGACAAGACAAAACTTTACACAAAAGGACAAACCTCACAGCAGATGACATAGCACAACTGATAGGACTGGTAGCTAACTCCACTTACTTCACATACGACAACACAATATACAAACAACTGGAAGGCTTCGCCATGGGTAACCCGTTATCAGCCACCCTGTGCGAGTTTTTCATGGAAGACCTGGAACAAAAAGCCATAGCCACCGCCCCCCCAAACTGCAAAATAAAACTATGGAAACGCTACGTGGATGACATACTGGAAATCATACCAAAAGGTCAAACAGAAACACTAACACAACACTTAAACAATATTGAAGACACGGGCAACATAAAATTCACTTATGAGTTAGAAACAGAAGGCAGCATAGCATTTATGGACATGAAAATCACCAGGCAGACCGACAGGACCCTAAACATAAACACATACAGGAAACCAACACACACAGACCAATATCTATTATGGACATCAGAACACCCCACCATACACAAAATGTCAGTAATCAGAACATTATATCACCGAGCAAACATAATAACAGAAGAGAGAGACCGTAAACAAGAGGACAAACACATACAACACGCTTTAAAGACCTGCAGATACCCGACATGGGCAATAAACAAAGGAAAACAACAAACAAAAACAGAAAGCAAAGAACAACCCAAAAAAAGAACCAGAAACCCAGAAAGACAAGAACCAAAACCAGTGATAACCCTACCATACATCAGAGGCATAACGAAAAAAATAAGAGCAACAATGAAAAAACACAACATAAACACACCAACAAAGCCATACACAACAGTTAGAAACAGATTAGTACACCCAAAAGACAAAATATCAGCTGGACAAAAATGTGGAGTCATCTACGAAATCCCATGCAAAATATGCAATAAAACATTCATAGGAGAAACCGGACGCCAACTCAACACACGGACAATAGAACACAGAAAGGAGTGCGAGAAAGAGGCAAATCGTAAACACACAAGAGCAGCAAAAGAAGAAGCAGAAAGTACAATAAAAAAGTCAGCCGTAACAGATCATTGCTTAAGAGAAAACCATATAATGGACTGGGACAGCACACGGATCATAACCACCGAACAACAAAAATACAAAAGATGGATCAAGGAAGCAATAGAGATAAGGAGACGTGGATGTGGGACCATGAACAGGGACGA